GGCGCGGTGCTCCGGCGGCGGGACGTGAGCTGAGGAGTTCCTGCCTCTCACAAGCGCCAGGCATGGGGGTGCCTCACTGCCCGGGTGCCCGGGTCGGGGTCTGGGTCTGTCACCCTCCCTCTCGACACGGCCAGTCCCGTGCAGACAAGAGCAGGCGCGGCCTGCGAGCCTGCTGCAGGGAACGCAGCTGGTGCTCCGCAGCTGGGCAGGGAGCATGGCTGTGGGGCAGTGTGCAGCCAGCACAGGCAGGACACAGAACAACCACGCACCCACACTTTAAATTAACCCTCTCCCAGCGATATTCTGTTATTTTCCCGCAGTCAGCCACTGAGGGAGTTCTGTCAAAGCCTTTCAGACCTTGTCCGAGCGTCTGAGGAGGAGCAGCTCCAGACCTGTGTCTTGGCTACTTCCATGGTCTTAGTGCTGAAGAGGCTTTCTTTAGCACAGACAACCTCTAACTGCCAGCTTAGGCTATTCCGTGTGGCTGGCAGGGTGCTCTAAGCGACCCCCTCACGATGATGTACAGCATCAGTGAGTGTAGTGCCTGAAAGCTTTTACTAAGCATGTTTGTGGTTTAATGCTAGTTTGCTATTGCAGTAGGGAAAACCCAGGTGTGGTCAAAAGGCAGTATTATGTTTGCAAATGATGTCAATAGAGGATGTGGTCTTGAGAAATCAAAATATCTTGAGATTTATGAGCTATGTATATGCCTACGTATCTGGTTCTCAGTGTCCTTGACCAAAGGCTGCTGGGCTAAGAATAAATGGAGTGGTGTTAATCATTGCAGAATATTTTCATATTAACAGACATCTCCGAGTGCACCCTGGAAGGGCTCCATGGCTGATGATAGGACTTGGAGATCATGTTAATGATGTGGTTTAGTGGTGGATTTGGCAGTCCTTCAATAACAATTGGCCTTGATGATCTCAAAGGTCTTTTCCAACCTGTGTGATTCAATGATCCCATGAAGAGAGAGCAGCCTGAAAGGAGCAGCTTTCTCTAAGAACACCACCTGTTCCTTAGACATGGGAATTGAAGTCACAGAACCCGAGATATGTGGAGAAGAGTTCAAGGAGACAGATGAAACTTGGCAGCTGTAGTAGGTGCAAGACAGCATAACAATGCAACAACATCATGCTGTAAAGGTTTCCCTTCACAGACCTCTCACACACCACCCTACTTATTATTTGTCAATATTTTGTCATAAACAGCTCAGACCTCCATTTGGACGTCTAATGGCATGAAATCTCTGAAGCTTTCTATCATCAACCCATAGGCCTAACTTCTCTCTTTTTGTTCTGGGATTGCTCCCTTTGAAGGGAAAGGATGTAGCATGGACACTCAGCTGATGTGTCAATGACCTTTTCATACACTGTTATGTTTCTTATATAGATACCCCTGCTCTAATGAAGAGCTGGTACCAAGTCTTTGTGCTGGGCGGGGGAAGAGAAGGCAATGAGATGTCTACAGAAGGTGGCAGGAGGTCTGGCAGTGTGCAGTCTAAGGCTAGCTCACTTGTCCCATCATTGCGAAGGCAGGGTTGACCCATGGATCTCAATTGTGCAGGATGCCAGGTGAACAGACCTGTAGGTGGCAGGCTGCACTCTGCCTGTCACCCCTCTACCAGTTTCAGAGGGGGCTTCCCAAGCCCCTGGGCAGCTCACCAGAACAGATTGTCTGGTGGGCATTATCATCTCTTTACCGCACAGGCACTCCTGTTTCCATGGAATGAATGGACAGCAGGCCACCATTCATTACTGCTTTATGGACTTGAGGTATTTGGCAATTGATTGAAATATCCAGGTGAGAAACATTGACTCTGTGCATGTATTTGCAATCCCAAGGAGAACTACAAGCCATTTTGTACCGTTAAAAAACAGTACAAACACCTCTGTTAAAGCTAGAGCTAATGGAGGGTGGAGACAAGGCTTGAAGGAACTCAGTGCCGGCACTGCTGGCACATCACAAGCACCCTGCAGTGTAGGAGCAGGATGCCTCATGGGGTGCCAGCCCACGGTTCACCACTGCAGCAGGAGATGCCCGGCTGCCCTGGCCTTGAACGCTCAGGCACCAGCACCCAGCACAGCTGGCTCTGTGGAGAGGGGCCAGCTGCCCCGGCGAGCCTCTGGCACCAGTGGGCAGGAGCAGCCAGCCCCTGTGCCAGGCTTGCAGAGCCATGCTGCCCTTGGGCCTGGCGGGTGCCTTGAGGGGCTGAGCACGCACCACATCATTGGTGCAGGGCAGAGGTGGGCCTGGGGCAATGCAGCACCGGGGGCAAGTGAGGGTGCTCCCCCAGACCCGGCACAACTGGAGAACAGTGCAGGGACTGGCATGTCAGACTGTTTATTAATAAAAAAAGTCACAATAACTTACTCCCTTTGTCGCACAAAGGGCTCGGTATAAAGAGCTCTGGCTTCCGAAGGTAACATGGGTAAGTGAGAGATGGGTGATTTTCTCTTGTCCTCCCCAGGGAAGCGCAGCCAGCACAGGAGCTACTGGCCTCGCAGGGCCATGGCACAGGAGCAGGCATGGGCCCCTGCCTGCGGCTGATTCACAGGCAGCACACACCAGTGCAGAGGCAAATGCAGCAGATGTGTTGACCATGGGCACTGGGTGCCAGAGGGTGTGCAAGCTGCAGTGGAGGAGCAGAGAGAAGTGGCTGCTTCTTCCCAGAGTGCTGAGGGGTCTGCGGAGCACAAAGTGAAGCAGCAGGACAGTGGCTGTTGCAGGCAGGGGCACGTGGGGCTGGCTGGAAGCAGCCCTGCCTCCCCCGCTGCTGCCTCACACAAGGTCGAGCCTGGCAGAGGCAGGAGGTGAGCTGGGGCTATTTGTCACACTCCAGATCCTGGGCCCCCTCCGCACCCTGGTAGTGCATCTCACAGAACTCCTGAATGCGACTGCAGGCCTCCAAGATCATCTCCTCGGGCACGGTGATCACCACACGGAAGAAGTTTGGGTACTCAAAGCACTGAAATGAGAAAGGATGAAGCTGGCAAATCAGCTGGGATAGTGCTGTAGTTTTACAGCCCTGACTTGAGGCCATGTGCTGTGTCAGCAAGGGAAAATGGTCAGTGCTGGACAGCAGGGACAGGCTCTTGCTCCCTTAGGATTTACTGGGGGGGGGGGGACGGGACAGGGAGGGAGTTCATTTTGGAGTTTTTTTGTTCCGTGCATGTTTCACATCTCCATATATATAGACATGATGCTGCAAGGGTGACAGGCCATACAGAGTTCTTTGGACTATGCAGGACCCAGGGAATGGGCTGGGAGGAGTTAGGGAAGGATAGGGCTGGAGAGTACCCAAGGGCCTATCCATGTTTAGCGCTGGAAGTGGAGCTGGAATGAGGTGGGCACTGGGCACAGATGTTCTCAGCCCATTGTTGTGCCTACAGGAGTGCAGTACTACAAACAGCAAAGAAAGGAACATAGGTGGGAGCAGCCCCAGGCCTCTTAGGGAGCAGCAAGGAGGTGTGGGAGTACAGAGTAAGCCTGAAGCTGGGAAGATCCTGGCAGCCTGAGGGCTGCTAGTGAGCCAGAAGCTGCCAGTCCCTGAGCCTATCCCTACACACAGCACCTTGAATTCACAGCCAGCACAAACACACCATAACAGACCATGGGCACTGCACACACAAAACTCCCAGCCTGGCCCCAGAGCTTCCCTGCCCATGCTTTGGCCCCACAGCTCCCCAGGCTCTCAGCGTCAGGCTCACCGAGGCTGGCAAGCAGAACACAGACTGCTCTGAGATGAGGCGCTCCGTGAACTCCACATCATTTTCAAATTCAGGGAAGTGCTCCATCTCAATCTCAACCTGCAGCAGAGGGATGTAACGTGACAACCAAGGCCACCAAAACTATCTGCTCACCCACATGATCCAGCAACTTCCCAGTCAAGTGCAGCTGTCTGCCCTCAGGTTTTGCTTATGATTTGGGTTGACTGGAATATTAGGCAGAAAAAGAGGCAACAGCATAGGTAGAAGATAGACATGGTGGTGGGAAGAAGGCTACATCTTCAACAGGACATGATAATTTGACTTATGGTGTAGGGGCTTCCCATTGCCAGCTGGCTTCAAATCCAAGTAAAACAATGTAGCCTTGCAAAGTACAAGTCATTGAGTTCTGTGCAGGAGCAAGCGGGCAAAGTGTACTAGCCTCTGCTATGTGAGAAGTGAACAACATAGTCCAGCCATCTAAAGTGACCAAGGGACACATCTACACAGGGCAGTGTGAAAACGCATGGTAATGGAGACCTGGTGCCAAGCATCAATCTGAAAACACTGACAAGCATTGGAAACAAGACTTAGTGTGATTGCTGATGATCTGGAAATGGCATGTCACCCTCCTAGCTTACCATGATGTACATGGCTCCAGCGGGCCGGACAGGCTGGAGGCCAGGAATAGCAGATAAGGCAGCATAACAAAGGTCAGCATTGGACTGAAAAGCAGAAAGGAGAAATTTCAAAACAGGAGAAATTCCAGGAAGCAGCTTAGCGAATAGAAGCCAAGCTCTGGACCAGGACTATAAACAGGTTTGCCCATTGCAAATAAAGGGAACTCAAATGCAAACAGCATGGGTGATCATGGCCTTGAGTGCAGGAGGCATGACTGTGCTGAGCTCAGCAAGTGCCAGGCTTCCACCCCACTGGATCACCAGCTGCAGGGCTGGGATGCCTGAAACTTATTGCAGCAGTATTTCTGCCCCAATTACCATGTTCCCTGCTGGAATTTGATTTGTTGGGCCCCCTAGCCACAGACAGAACTGCACCTTGGAGTGGCATGAGGAGCGATGATGAGCTGGGGGGATATGATTCCCTCCGAACAATCCATGAACAAACCGTGCTGGCCTGTTACAGCCCGATTACCTTGAGGATGCTGAGGGTGTTGTGGTAGAACTCAGGGGGTGTTCGGTGCAAGATACGTTCCAGTGCTCCTTGGACAAGTGTACAGGGTCCTAGGATCCTTTGACTCAGTCTTACAAGGCCATCTCTGATCTGAAAAAAACATGGTGATATTTGCAGCTTAGACAGTGCTTCCACGAAGGAAAGTGGCAACTATTTCTACAGCTGCTCACACCCCTCCCTTCAGAGGGCACACAGAGTACTACAGAACATTGCTTGACTACATGCTGGGTATTTGCAGAATATTTACAGTGTCATTCTCTGTTCCACAGTTACAGATTGTAATGCCAACAGAGACAACCTTCAGAGCTTTCCAATCTGACTCAAACCAGGCTGGAATATAGTTAATACAAATGAAGCCAGAGCTGTTCCAAATACCACTTAGCATTTCCCTTAGGTTTGGGCCCACAATCCATACTTTCAAAGTCAGGTAGGGACAAACAACATTAGCTCTTCTGCTCACTCAGTTGGTCCTCTCTTCTCCCTCTTCCTCTGCAGAAAGCCCTCTAGGTGGAAAGGTCACTGCAGCAGATGGTTGTTACTCTAACACAGCTGAACAAAGAAGCAGGTAAAGCACTGGCAGTACTGCCAGGTGCTTTGTTCTTACTTCCAAGAGAAACCATAGAAAAGCACACAGAGACCATGCATGGTCTCCATGTGCTGGATGCAATGCACATGCAACACTTTCAGTGCAGACTGGAGCTATTTGAGAAAAGAAGGAATTAGAAGGACACAAAAAGGACAAAGTATATATGAAGTAGCAGCAGAGTCAAAGAGTGTGTTACAGTGCAGATGTGAGTAGAAGGCCATGTATGGGAGCAGACTAACTAAGGAAGGGACATGAAAAGCTGAGAGGTGCAGAGGTGCATGTGAACAACTGGGTGACACCCATGTAAGAGCAGTACGTGCCTGCACCAGTTAAAGCCCTGGTGATCCACACACTGAGGACACTGCAGGTCTGGTGCAGTGACAGCAACACTCTGCAGTTCTCACCTCATTACCAAAGATGTCTCTCCTGTCGTGAATTAGGATCCAGCCCATGCGCCAGCCAGGGACGAGCCACCGCTTTGCCAAGCCGCCACAGGACAAGATTGGCACATTGGTGCTTAGGGTTGCAATGGGTTCGAATTTGCAGTCAGCAAACACCTGTGATAGGAGGCTGCATTAGGGCTGTCCCTGCCTCTCGCTGTGAAAGCTGTGGGGTGTGCATGAGGCATAGGAAGCAGGGAAGCAAGGAAGTGATGGGAAAATGATGGTGAAAGCTCCCAGCTTCGAGGTATGAACATAGTTATGTGCACTCACACGAAAGTGAACCATTTGGGACGAGGTAAGGAGCTGGACATGAGGGGTACCCTCAGGACTGTGCATCAGACAATTGGGAGCTCCAGGCATGGACCCAGGCACCGTAGAGGGGAGTGGAGCTGTCACTCACCTCTGGAGACCTGGCTGCCAGCCACAGGGCAGTGCATCAGAAAGGAGAGGCAGCATGGGGGTGCAAAGGACTGCACCAGACACTCACCATGTCTCCATAGATCTCATCAGCAAGGATGGGCACGCACTGTCTTGATGCCACTGTGGGAGAGAGGCATTCAGCCTGTACCCCCTGCATCCTCCACAGGAGCAGGCTTGCCCTTTGTTGCAGGGCTGACGGGGCCCTGAGGGAAGCTCTGTCCCAGGGCAGAGGGTCCCTGTCTTCCTCCTACAGACAGTTTATTCTGAGAGCCCAAGCACTGGAGACCCCTGTGAGGGCTGAGCCTACTCCGGCTCTTGCCTGTGGGAGCAGGCAGCACAGCCTCCCACTGACAGGCCAGGGCTTGGGAAGCGTAGTGCTCCCTATGAACACGCTCCCTCTGTGGAGCTAGAGTGGAGAAATGAGCAGTCCAAGCCACACAGAGTGTTTAAGGAAGACCAAGACACACACTCTGCATGTTGTACCCAGATAAGGCAACACTTTCACACTGAACAAGCCCTACTTCCTGAGCTGGAGTCAGTCCTGAGAATCAAAGCCCTTTAGCCATGATGCTGCAGTGACTGAGACATGGGCAATCAAGCCCACATACACACAGGAAGACTCACCTGCCAGGATCTTCTGGAGGTGTCTCTTGCTGAAAACAGAGCCACAGGGGTTCGACGGGTTGTTCACAATGAGGCAAGCTGTCTTCTCATCCACCAGAGACTCCAAGTGCTTCAGATCAATTTCCCAAGCCTTCTCTGGCTAATGAAGTGAACAGAATGGAAGCAACAGCTGAGGAACTGGACTTGCCACACAAGGAGAGGTGGGACAGGGTGCCCAGGGTTGCTCACGGCATCTTCACTCACTTCTGAGGCAGCGCCAGGGTATTTCTGAGAGGCAGAAATGTCAGGGCTGCCCTTTCCAGGCTTGCCATCACTTACCAAGAGGTTGTAGAGTTTGACCTCAATCCCCATAGACAACGCCAAAGTCTTGTAGAGCGAGAAGCCAGGCCGTGGCACCAGGATGTTCTGGCCTGGGTTGGCCAACACTGCCAAGGCAAGCTCTATGGCCTGGCTGAGATGACATCCTGCAAAGAGCACAGGGGTCAGCAGAAAGCTCAGCCATGGAAAGTGCTCCTGCCATGTGGGAGTGACATGGTGCCCAGCCTCTGCCAGGAGAGAGCTGCTCAGCCGCAAGGACAAGTCGTGTCTGAGAGCAGGAAACCTCCAACAGGCAGAGAGCTCAGCTCCTCCTGGGGAGGGTGGAGAAGGGCTCGGGGCAGGGGTGGGAGCAGGCGAGTGCTGCGGGGCAAGTCCACGGGCCAGGCTTTGGTGCCGGGGCTGGGCAGAGCCGGTACCTGGGCCTCCAGCGGTGCCTCCGGGCAGGTGTAGAACGCAGCCACGGCTTCCCTGCAGGACTGGTATCCTGGGAGAGAGGAGCCAAGCATGGGAGGGAGCTTTTAACAGACGTCTCCTTTCTGCCGCCAGAGCAAGGCTCTCAGCTGGGGAAACCCGTTTGTTGGCGAGGCTGTCCCACGGCGGCAGAAACTGTGCT